AGAGCTCAAGATGAAAGTATTTATTGTATGTATCAACAGGGAGGTTGTCAAGACTTTGATGTTTTAGAAGAGGATGAAGACTGCAGCAGTTTTAAAAATAAATATCTTTGTAGATTTGGCTCTGATCAAATATATCTGGATTCTACTAGATGGCTAGAGATGGGAGGGAAGACTTTGGAGTTTGTACCTTTTGAATTTTGTACCATGGATATTTTACCTATTATAATGAGAATCATCATAAAGTGGTATAGGTTTAAACAAAGAGAATCTTTGAGTGTAAGAGGCTGAGAGGAACAGACCGAAAGGAGGGAAAAAGAAGTCCTATCTTATTTGTATAGGCGAAGGAACTTATTTAAATGGAGAAGAGAAAGAGGAGGAGACTGAAAAATGCTGAGAGAAGAGATCCTTAAGAAAGTAAGAGATATGACCCAGGTGAAAAAGCTGGTTTAGAAAGAAGAAAGTCTAAAATTTTTGCTGTAAATGGAGAAAAGGATAAGTATAGAAGGAAATTGATTTCATGGTGGAAAGTTGAGGCAGTTCGCATCTGATTACTTCATTTCCTTAAAATAGTTAGGGGACAAAGTCCTTTGCCAAGCAAGAACAGAAAGTTATTTGGGTCAGATATTTGAAATAGCTACTGGAGAATGCAAAGGACAGTAGAGTGGGAGAATGTAAGATTTCCAGGGAGTATAGCACAGGTATTTTAGACTGTGTGAATTTATTCTCACACCAATCTAATTGGGTGTTTTATTCTCCAGCCATGTCCAATGGGTCAGTTTTATATAGTTGGATTGGTTTCTGGAGTTTACACTTGAGGCTGATGGAAAGGCAGTGGGACAGGTGAGTTGAAGATATCAGTAAGGGAATGGTTGAAGTGACAAATTCTGGAATCTAAGCTAGATATGAAGGAGAATGAAGTGTAAGTTGGTGAACAGGGTGTAAGTGGGAGGAAGACTTTTGAGTTTGTACATTTTGAGTTTTGTACCATGGAAAAGTAGAGCGATCAAGCAGCAGTTGTAGTTAGTGATTGCTGGATGTATGCATTCTCATGGTCCGAGTGTGTGATATATGAAATATATTCTAGAGATGGAGTGATTGCAGGTGTTGACAAGGTAGGTATGGGCTATGGCCATGGGAATTGTTGGCTAAAATGGGGGTAGAAGAGCAGTCTCAGAAGATGTAAAAGTTAAACAACTAACATGTTGGGTACCATGTTGATATTGATGTCATATGGGAAGTTGACAGGACTTTGGATGGAGCAGAATATGTGAGCAGATTCATCCGTGAGCATGTAGTCCATAAGTAAGAAAATATGTTGGACACCTGAGAAATAAGAGTAGGGAAAGGCATGACTAGATGTTATGAAATTCAGAGGGAAGACAGAGACTTTATACAAGGGTAGAGGGAAATGATCTAGAAATCTCACCGGAGAATAAGAGGAGTGCCGTACCTACATCTCAGCCTTGAGTTATGAGGCCATGAGGGAATGTGCAGGTTCCATCTGACAAGGATACTTCTCCAACTATTATTAGATGAACAAAATACTACTCTGCCAAGTTGCTGTGAAAGTTTGTAGACCTGTGAAAGTAAATAGTTCATGGACCAATGATCAATCTGTGGACCATACTTTAGTAGCAATAATATAGAGGAAATGGTTTTCTTATAGGAGAAGCTGGGTTCAGTTAAACCAAGAAATAAAGGATGGACTTATTGAAGGTATTCAAATGTAGAGGCATTTATCTACTAGAGAACTGGATTGCTAAAGGTACAAAAGAAAGATTAAGGAGGGAGAACATATGTCCAGGGATAACATGGAAGTGAGATGGAAAGCATGTAGTCCATAAGTTACAGAATTAGGGAGGACTGTATTTTAAAAAAGTTTTATCAGGTGAGGTCATATCTAGATAGGATGAAAGAATATTAGCTATCACTTATTGGTTATTTATTACATACTAGATTCTTCGATACATTTCATATGTGTATTACCTAATCAAATCCTTCCTTTAAATTCTGAGGATGATTTTGGATGAAACATTTTGAGATACGTATATCCTGGTTTTCTGGTGTATTAGTCTGAGTAGACTAGAGAAACAAATTCATAGACACTCATATGTATAAGAAAGAGCTTTATATCAAAGAGTAATTGTATATTAAGAAAAGGTCCCAGCCCAGTGCAGCTCAACTCCATAAGTCCGATATTAACCCACATGACCAATACCAGTCTAAAAATTCCTCTTCAGACTCTCACAGCACATGGAATGACGCCAAAAGCAGGAAGAGCACAGGCCAGTGAAAGTCTTGTGGATCCAGTGGCAGTAGAAGCATCTAAGCGCTGGCGTGGGTCTCCAGGTGGCTCCTCCAGCTCCAGGGCTCTGGCTCCGTCAGCATAGCTCCATGTGACTTGTCAACAGAAATGCCAAGCAGAGTGTGTGTCCCACCTCCCGGGAGGAAGACAGGAGTTCCCAGAATCCTCAGGAGACGGCCATATCCACACAGAAGCCTCATTGGCTTTGACCTGATTGACAGATTAGAGACTCCACCCCTTCGCTCAGGTTGACAGATTATGTAACTGCCACAGTTGGGCTGTTAATCCAAAGGTTAGCAGTTCCAACCCCCCAGCTGCTCTGTAGAAGAAAGGTGAGGCTTTCTACCCCATAAATATTTAGTCTCAGAAATCTACACAGGCAATTCTACCCTGTATAGCAGTGGTTCTCAAACTTCCTAATGCCGCAATGTGACCTCCCAATCATAAAATTATTTTCGTTGCTACTTCATAACTGTAAATTTGCTACTGTTATGAATTGAGTGGCCCCCATGACAGGGTTGTTCAACTACTAAAGGGGTTGCAACCCACAGGTTGAGAACCGCTGCTGTATAGGGTCACTATGAGTCAGAATTTGCTACATGGCAGTGAGTTGGGTTGTTGTTTTTTTAAAAAATCTATGAGTGGTATGAGCAGTTCATGATCTCAGCTGCTAACTAAGTGACTAGAGGTTAGATTTTCTTCATTCTTGTACTCATTGTTATTCGCTCCCCATTTTCCCACAGTCTCCCCTGCCACACCCCCAAGAAACCCTTAATCCAGTTACTGTCTCTATAGATTTACCTATTCTGGATTTCAAATGCAGAAAAACATTTTAAAAATTTTAAAATAACGAAGTAAAACTGAGAAAAACCTCAATAGAAAAGAAGGCAGAAAAATATTAACAACTAGAACAAATTGAAAATGGGTCAAAAGGGATACCCAATGATGAGGCCAAATTTTAACCTAACTGCATCTGCTGTAATCTACTTTCCAATTATTTTTACGTGATAACAAAGCTATTCACATCTCCGGTCTGTGGTCAGAAGGGATTCTGGCCCAATCCGTGTGTATTTCCTTCACTTGTTTTTTAACTGAAACAACTTTCAAATGGAGTTCAAATGATAAGACAACATTTTAAACCTAACTACGAGGGCCATAATCGACTTTACATGCTCTCTGATAGCCAGGGTATTCACATCCCTCAAGTATGATCAGAGAGGATTCACTGAAGACTTAATCCATGTGTGGATTCTGCAAATAGATTTTAGGCTCCCACTGCCATCCATAGCCTTTTGCAAACCAGGTGTTCATAGGTTAAGCTCTGATACTAGTCCCACCTTCAGATTTGGATTTTATTATTTACAATCCTTGGATCACACAGACTGGTGTGCTTCTATCATTGCATGCTTAGATCACATTAGATTTCTTTTTCACCCCTCAAATAATATTTTTATTGACATTTCTTACTCATTCCAATATATCCCTTCCCTTCCCATATGGTTCTGTTGTTCAATCCCATCGGGTAGGGCTATACAGTCATCAATGCTATGAACTCCTCACTTCCCGTATCCTTGTGTACCTAATGATCTTAAATAAACATACACAAGTGTAACATGACCAATGAGGTATATTGTATATGGACCACAATAGGAAGAGTAGAAAATCTTAAAGAACTAGAGGATAGTTATGCAGTTCATCAGTGTCACATTGCCTCCTGGATTTATCTCTGGTCTTTGAGGCCCTACTAAGAGGGACTATCCAATTCTCTTGCTTTGGGTGTCCACTACATCCATTAGATTTCTGTTAGACAGAAATTCTTAACACTAGATTTCTGTTAGACAGAAATTCTTAACACTAATTCTTAACACTAGGTTTGTGGACATTTCTTACATACCTATCTCTACAAATATATGTCAAATTGACTCGAATAAAATGGCACATTTTATTTTTAAAATGTTTTATTTAAAAACAACATTATGACTATTAACTTTTAAGTGAAACTATGTTATACTATATATATAAAATTTATAATATTATACAACATTTGAGATATTGGGTTTGACGTATACTAATGGTCACTTTGGTCTGTCAGTATGACAATATCCATGGCATTGTTTGTCTTTACATTTGATATTTACTTTCCAAGAGCTTTTTTAACTATGTTTTTATTTATTACTGAAGAAGGCTTTCTTGAATGAAATTGATTCACTGAGATTAATACTCAATTTAAGGTCACATCAAATTGACACATATCCATGGAGATAGGTAAATCACATAGAGAATTTTGAGATTAGAAGAAAATTAATTTGGATATATATTTGTCTCACTAAATGGATAAAAGCATAAATGGAAGGAGGTAAATGTAATTGGTTTCTGTAATTTTTGTTGAGGAAATCAAAATGTGTCAAATGACATATCCCATAAACCCAATGTTAATGAATCTTTATTGCACATATATTTTTAACATTGTCGTAATTGTTTTAAAGCAGTGTGGTCCATTCAGACTTTCTTCATTAATGAAATGTTCAAGTGGCACTTGAAATGTGTAGGAACTGAATTTTAAGTTTTCTTTAATTTTAACTAATTTACATATGAATATTCATGTGCCTAAAGCTGCTGTACTAAACAGCACAATTCTAGATCCTATGAAAATTAAAATTCCCATAAACCTTGAACTATTTTTTTTCTTTTCCAGTTGTGTTGGTGTTGAAGAGGAGAAGGCTGCTGATATTGACCTGTACCACTGCCCCAACTGCGAGGTCTTGCATGGGCCCTCTGTTAGTAAGTAGATCTTGAGATTTCCAAGAAAGGGGGATTTAGAGAGGCAAAACAAAGGAAGCTTGGTAGTGTAATGATCTTTCCTGAGTACTTGAGATTTGTCTCCCTTAGAAAATAACAAAAGCCTGGAAAGGCCTGCAGGCTAGTAGTTGCCCCAGTGAGAGAACAGTTTGTGGCTTTACTTTCATAGGGATTCCATAGAGGAAGCATTCATCTTTACCAACCACTGTCTTGATTCTTTAAGGGTCTTATTGACTTCAAATCTCCATGGGGAGTGTGAGATTAGAAGAGAAACAGGTCTGCTGAGGCCTTTGCTCTGGGATCCATAGTACATAATCATTTGACTCATGGTCTCATGTCTTTACCTGACTTAGTGAAAAAACGCCGTGGATCTTCAAAAGGCCATGATACACACAAGGGAAAGCCAGTGAAGACTGGGAGCCCTACATTCATTCGAGAGCTCCGGAGTAGAACATTTGACAGGTGAGGATCTTTGTCCAGTGATTGATGGCTTCCCGGATTTCCAACTGGATGTCCCATTATGTGTCTTACCCATTTGGGGTTATCTTTAGGGTTCTGCAAGTTCCTATTGTGGTGAGACCTTTTATTTAAGTCGATTTTGAGAATAGTTGTAAGAGTTTTATTTGTTATGCAGAATATACTATGTGCAGAAACTTTTGGTAGGTTGGAAAGCAATATCCTCCCAATTTAGGAGAAGAGATATTCATGCACTTAAAGAATAAGTGCATGATGAGAGAGTTTTCTATAATGAGAGAGTTAAATTTTTTGCTGAGTCTTTCTATGAGGGGGTTTCAGAGAGTTTTAAGGAAAAATTCAATTATCATCTAAGTCCATTTTTCTCTAAGTCTTTGAAGCTCTCCTATCTTTCCCCCATAATTCTAATTCTCTCATTATAGAAAAGAGGAAACTTTAAAAATATTTTAAAAATTGAATGGTCATGTATATCTTTTATAATCACAAAAAAACAATTTCTTTGCTTTTTAAAAACTTAAGCTGGCCTTATTAAGATAACTCACTTCAATAGAGCAGAAATAATGAGTTAAAAAACTAAATAAAGCACTCTCTTCTGCTTTTTTTTAATTCACTGAACCATTTTCAGCTGTTCTATAATTAAAATGTTTTGATTTATGTGTTTCTGTAACTTTGTTAGTAAATTTAAGAAAGTGAGTCTCCTTTCTTTCCAGACTGTTCAAGTCCTTCCCCCAAATCAATTTCTTATGTACGTTTTTCCTTCTTAATAATACTGTTTTCAGTGAAATTTTATGCAGCAGTTTAGTTTCACATTCAATAATTTCTACACAAAATATTCAGTGACAGTGACATTGGTTACATTCTTCACATGTGTGAGTGTTCTCATTATTTCTATTGTGGTTGTTTTCATTACTATAGCTTCCCTGCCTGTTAAATTTTCATCTTCATTTTAAAGTAATTGCTGACCATTTGGTCTCATATAGGTGATTCTTTTTAAAGGAGTACAGTTCTTGTGCATTCTTTCAGTAATAGTTATTGCATGTGGGTGTGTCCCTCTTTTATTTTTCACAAATGGTAACGTTCCATATTGTTCTACACCTTGCTTTTAAAAAAAGATTATGTATACAGAAAGTCAGTCCTTGAAAATAAATCAGTATATAAACATGTTCTTACTTTTTCATGGCTGTTTAGTGTCCCATTTTATAGATATATAATTAAAATAATTTATTTAACTATTTTTCTATTAATAAGCATTTTATTGCACTACTTTTATATTAGAAGAAAAAGGCTGCAGTTTATATCTTTATACTTAAGTGTTTATACATGTGGGTGAGTATGTCTTTAGATTTGCTGTTTAAAAATAAAATTGCTAAGTTAAAGAGTATGTACTTTAAAATGCTTATAAATATTTCCAAATTGTTTCCAAAATGGCTGCTCCATTTCACACTCCTATGAACAGTGTGTGAAGGTGCCTACTTCCCTGTATTCTGACTGAAAATATTTGCTATCAAACTCTTTGTTTGTTGTTTCTCTGATAAGATAAAAAATAAAATCTTGTTTCTGTTTGCATTTCTTTAATTATGAAGGGTGAGTTACTTTTGTATATTTGTAAACATTTGTTTTTCCTGTAAACTTCATGCTTGTGTTGTTTGACAATATTTTTATTGGGGTACTGACTATTTCTTACTGATTATTACCAGCTATTTTTATATTAAGGAGCCCTGGGGCATAAGTCATAAAGCATTGGGCTGTGACCTGCAAGATCAGCAGTTCAAAACCACCAGCTGCTCCTTAGGAGAAAGATTAGGCTTTCTATTCCTGGAAAGAGTTAAGAGTATCAGAAACCCACTGGATGGCAGTGAGTTTAGGGTGGGTTTTTTTGTTTGTTTTTTTTGTGGTACTTTTAACCAGAACACAGCAGCCTGTCTTTGGGAGAAAGAAAAGTGAGGCTGTCTGCTGCTATAAATATTTAAAATCTTAGAAACCCAAGGGGGCAGTTCTACGCTGTCTTATAGGGTTGCTGTGAGTTAGAATTAACTCAATGGCAATGAATTTGGTTTTAGGTTTGGGCTTTTTTATATTAAAGAAAATAATCATTTGGCATACATGTAAGTATCTTTTTCCTAATTTGTGTTAACTTTTAGATTTCTTCATATTTTTCCTTATAGAAAATTTTAATTTTTAAATAGTTTATTTATTGTGATTTTAAACTCCCATTTTCTATTTAATTAAATGCATGAGTTAAAGAAATTATCATAAAATTGCTTTTGCTTTTTAAATCAGTCTTCTCTTTATTCACCAAATTTTTAAAATGTAGTGATTGCAGCCTAAATTGTCAGATATATCTTTTCCTCCTGGGTAGGCTGCTGACTTAGTCATCTAGAGAAGAGTACCCTATTGATATCCTGGGTTGAATTTCACTCTTCCACTTCTGACCAAGCAAGCCTGTGGGCCTTGTACAGGTCATATCTTCTCAGACACATTAAGCCTATGCCATTAATTGTCAACATAGGCTATGCACCCTCAGTAAGGTCTTCTATTCCCCACCTCTACCACTACCATCACCATACCCCTTGGGTGAATTGGAGCATCAAATGGGACCTTCAGTGGGCAGAACCTTTGATTGCTCAAGATTTCTCTCCTGTACCCCACAGCTCAGATGAAGTGATTCTGAAGCCCACTGGAAGTCAGCTTACCGTGGAATTCCTGGAAGAGAATAGCTTTAGTGTACCTATCCTGGTCTTGAAGAAAGATGGGTTAGGGATGACATTGCCTTCATCATCATTCACTGTGAGGGATGTGGAACATTACGTTGGTAAGATACCACACGGCCCTCTTTTTTTATACCTGTGTGTGTTGAAAATAGATACAGCAAAAGATATTTCTATATATCTATATACAGCAGAAAAATTCTACATGTATAATTAATGACATTGATTATATTCTTCAGTTTATCTTATTAATCACTATTCTTTACCAAATTATTTCATCGCCATCAACATAAAATCCTTAATCAAAACCTTCCCCATCCTGCTCCCTCCTCCTCCTGTTAAACATTAATCATTTAGAGGTTTTATATATTTGCTTATTTTGTGTAATGAAACCATATGTTTATCCCTTAACTACTGACTTATTTTACTCAGCATGTTTTTATGACATTATTCATTCCTCTCAAGACCTGTGTCCCTTACCCTTCAAGCCACCTATTGGATTTCCTTTTGGCCATCTTAGGAATATGAGGTAAAAATTCTTGCCTAAAGTCATTTTTTGGGCAAAGCTAGAACCAAAATCTTGATCTCTTCCTCCTCCTAGTATACCATAAAAACCCCAGAAGGAACCCCATTATTTACCTGGAGAACATTAGGGAATATGGTCTCTCCTAGCCTTGGTAGCATACTGGGTTATGCATTTAGCTGCAAACCAGAGGGTCAGCAATTTAAAACCACCAGCCATTTGTTGGGAGAAAGATGAGGCTTTCTAATCTAGTAAAGGGTTAGCACCTTGGAAACCCACAGGGCAGTTCTAGTCTGTCCTATAGGGTCACTATGAGTTAGAATTGACTCAATAGCAGTGAGTTTGGTTTGTTTTAGTCCTCTGTTTGCGATGGTAAAACCTTTGAGTCATGCCTTCACATAACACTTATCTTTTGGGCATGGTTGTTTTGGAGAGAGGAAAGCGACTTAAGCAGGTAGACCAGCGGTTCTCAACCGTCCTAATGCCGCAACCCTTTAATACAGTTCCTCATGTTGTGGTGACCCCAACCATAAAATTATTTTTGTTGCTCTTTCATAACCGTAATTTTGCTACTGTTATGAATCAGATGACCCCTGTGAAAGGGTCGTTCGACCCCCAAACCAATCACAACCCACAGGTTGAGAACCGCTGAGGTAGACTATGCGTCATGCTGTGTGTCAGCTAGTTCCATGGCCCTGGCAGGCTTGGGCCCATCAAATAGGTCTTAGGAACATGTGAACGGATTACTACCCTTATGCGTAACCCCTGAAACATAAACATATACATATAGAATCTGAGGAGATGAGTTTAGAGGTCATTCTAGGGACTGGTGAGAAGATAAGACAATCTTTCCAATCACTGAAACCATTTGATGTCGAACCCATTTCCCCCCCCCCAGGTTCTGACAAAGAGATTGATGTGATTGATGTGACCCGCCAGGCTGACTGCAAGATGAAGCTCGGTGATTTTGTGAAGTATTATTATAGTGGGAAGAGGGAGAAAGTCCTCAATGTCATTAGTTTGGAATTCTCTGATACCAGGTATGAGGACAGGGATAATTAAAAAGTCTAATAGTGCTTGGAATGTATGGGGGTGGTATTAGTTGCCATTGATTCAATTTCAATTCAAGGTACCCATGTATGTGCAGAGTGAAACCTGCTCCATGGGGTTTTCAAGGGCTGTAACATTTCAGAAGCAGATTGTCTGGGTTCAATCTGCCAATTTTTTTGGCCAGTAGTCAAACACTTAACCATTTTTGCTACCCAAAGACTACTCTAACTCAAACTGAGTATATATTAGTGTTTATTACCTTTCCTGATAGTAACTGAGTCATATTCTCCTCCCCAGTTTCTAGTATTGGATAGATTATAGAGTTACTGTGCTAATTCTTTTTTTATCCTCTTGAAGTCTTAGCACAGATTTCCTAGACCATTTTTTCTGGTAGTATAGTCACATTTTCACTACCAGGGTGAGTCAGTCTGGATGGACTAGAGAAACAAATCTAGGGAGACTTGTGTGTATAAGAAAGAGCTTGATATACAAGAGCAATTGAATATTGAGAAAACACCCCAGCCCAGTCAAGATCAAGTCCATAAGTCCGATATTAGCCCATATGTCAGATACCAAGCCAAACATTCCTTTTAAGATTCACAAAACACATGCAATGATGCCAAATGCAGGAAGATCACAGGCCAGTGGGTGGAAAGTCTGTGGATCCAGTCACGGTAGAGGCATCTCAGCGCTGGCAGGGATCTCCACATGCCTCCTTCAGCTCCAGGGCTCTAGGGTAGCTCCATATGTCTTGTCAGCTGCAATGTCTCCCAGAGAGTGAGCCCAGTGTCCCGTCTCCAGCGAGTTATTTAGCTCCTTAGCACCTCCAACTGAGGTCAAATGGTGACTTGATTGACAGGCTAAACTCTACCCCTTCACTCTTAAGTCTCTAGTGGACAACAGATTATGTAACTACCACACAGGGTAAGTGCTCTGTCCCTAGAAATAGATTTATTAAAATTACTCCTATCTAGTTTTTCTAAAAATAAGATATTTTATATTAAACAATGAAAGAAAGATAAAGAAAATGTTTATAACCTTTTAATGACTTAGTTTTAATAACTTAGTTGATTTTATCTGGACTACACTCAATAGATGAATAGTCTCCTCTGTGTTCAAAACTGTAGGATATACCAATAAATTATATAATGTACCCTTTTTTGCCCTTAGGAAGCTTACTGTCTTTATTATCTATTGAGTTAAAAAATTATTTTCCATTAATTACAAATACAAAGAAAATTAGGGGAGGTACTATGTACTTTTT